GTCCGAGTCCACTGCGGTTCGTCGGTACCCGGCCAGACTATGCAAAGCACCTGATGTCTTCACATTCGCCTGAGGAGGGAGGAATGTAGTAGCGTAGAAGGTGAGAAAGACTCGAAATATAGGACCGTGCTGGGCTCACGTGAATCGAGGGATTCGGATTCTGGTGCGTATGAAGAACGGTCTTCGCAGTGCAGTTCTCGGTTCCAAAGTAAAGTGCATTTATCCTGCCATACGGGTCCGTGTCCACTCCGCTACATGTCACATAGCATCACTTCGTCTTTCCGATCGGCTCAAAGGGGCTGTAGCGTTTGGACTTTGCCAAGTTATTGTGAAATAAAGTATGGGCGTAACACACGTTTGAAAAAAACAATGTTTATTGACGAGACTGAAAAGAATAGTAGTCAACAGTTTGCTACAAGGCTATTTTTCCGGGCGAGTAACGAACACAAATACAAGTAATAATGCAATTAAGTTCAAAGGCGCAAGCGAGCTGGAGAAGAATGACGAAAATAATGGAAATGGAGAGGTCCCGGGTTCGATACCCGGATCAGGCAGAATTTTTCGGTCAAGAACCAGTCACCTAGCTGTGTTTGGAGATTTATGTTTGTCCTTTGTCCCTCTTGTTCCCCTCCTCCAAGGATAATTTTCGACAAATACAAGTCATTTTGCCCGGGTAATTAGTGCAAGTATATAACCAATCAAATGATACAATGAACCTTGAACAAAGTTAGGGCCGCAGTAAATCCTTCGAAAGTGAAAATTGTACAGTTATATTTCTATTTCCGAGTTGCATTAAATTTAACGAATTGTAGATACGTGTGGCGCTATATGGGGGCTTCTAAGGAGCGGGGCTGCATTTTTTAAGAAGATTCTATATTTCGGAATGATGAATAAGAAAACCATATGGGATGAGTACTCTGATAATGCACTGGAGGTAAGTGCGGATTATTGATACCGGTCGGTAAGGTTAAGAGCCTACTAATACTAATTTCTAAGGGACGTTGGCTGCAACAATTTGTGTACTGACCGATAAAAATAGTAAGTACTTGCTAACTGTCTTGTGAGTTCCAATGGGATAAGTGAAATGTTTTATGAACGTTAGTAATGAACTATTTTCTAAATGATTAGTTTGGATCTGCTTGCACATCACTTATACTCCGTTGATCCTTTAGCTGAGACTGCAGTAATTGCCACAAGCGCGAGAGCTCGAGGTCTCTGCTTTGAAGCGTTCTTCCGCAGAACGAGTACGCGCGTTAGGAATGCATGTATTCTCTAAAAGACGGGCTAGCTTGCGCTTGTAGCTTTGGTTGAAGTCTATGCTTAAACGGGGACTCCGTGCGACTTTGGAGCTACCCTAACTAACTATATTTTCGGGATCATCCGCCTTTACCCTTTTCGGTATGTTATTTAGTACTGCGCAAATCAAAATAGGTATTGTCAAATCGGCAAGTGAAAATGATGACAAAACCTACATTCAAATATACCCGCGCTTGTCAGTGGCTTGATGTCAGCGGAAGATAGGCTTGCAGTACAAAACGAGCAGTCTAGAAATGGACTATGCCGAGCATATGTATTGTACTGGTGCACGTGTGCTAGAAGGTGCTTCCAAATCATTCAGTTGATACCATGAAAATGCTTGTAAAGAGTTCGGAACAAAGTGTACAGTCCAAAAAGTGAAGCCCTGCCTTCCCCTGATGTCATATTTTGAATAGTTGGCAGTAAAATTTGTAACTTTAAAAGAAAAAAAAAAACGTGGTGAGAACCAAATTTGTTAATTCCAAAACTTCGGGAAAAAACATTTTTACGTTAGCCCAATATTTGGCTTATTCTTTCAGCGATAATGTTCTGGTAATTCAGCCGATTTGCGGGCAAATCGGGAACTGTGAAGAAAACGACGGAGTAACCCTTTAAGAGTGAACGGAGTATAAAGTCGTACTCCGGCGTCTTTTTCCTTGTCCTTGATTGGCATGAAAATGTCTTAAACGCACCCTCAAGCGTCGCTTAAATAGCAACTAAAATACTGGGGTAAAAGGGTTTTTTCCCCAACGTAATTGAATTTGCAATCTTGGTCCTCACCGCGTTTTTCAAAATTAAACTCTACCGGCAACAATCAAACAGTTACGTCTGGGGAAAGCAGGGGTTCACTCTTTGAACTATAGGCTTTCTATCCAACTGATTACAAGCAGTTTCACGGTCCCAACATAAACCGGAAGGTAGAAGATGTAGACGAATATCTAGGTACTGCAGACCTAGATATTTGTACTCTAGGTATACTGCAGGTCTCAAATTTACAAGAGAAGATCGTACGCACGAAGGTCTGCAGTACCTAGATCTTCGCGTTCATCTTCTGCCTTCCGGTTTATGTTGGGCTTTCCAGCAACGTTCTAAAGAACCTGTAGCCCCTTCTGTTGTATGCACTCTAAAATGGTCAAGCATGGAATGGTCTGGTCACTCTTTCTCTCCTCCCGTGCTAAGTCCTGCGTCCACCTTGTTGAGTTCAGCTTATAAATGCAGCAAGAACGCCTCCTCGAGGCTGGGTACCCTAAATATCTTCTTTCGACCACCCTCATTTGTCTAATCATAGGTTCCGCGAGCTCTCGGTCTCCGAGAAGGAGGACTTCTCACATAGTTACTATACCTCATGTCCATAGCACTTCTCACTGCTTGAAGACCATCGCATCGCGGTATGGTACTTTTGTTATTTTCTCGTGCAAGACGCGCCTAAAACAACTATGCCATAAGGTCAACGACAACAGTGCCTGCCAACCCATTCAGCCCCTTCAACGATAAGGTTGTGTACCGTATTCCCTCTACCTGCGGGGCGGGGATAGGTACGTTGGACAGACCGGTAGGTGCCTCAACACTCACCTCCAGGAACAATTCCTCGAGATATCCTGTGCGTTTAGAGAACTGTCATCGGATCGTGGTGCACAACCGCATTTGTTCAAATTGTGAGCCAGACTTCCAAGCTTCGCGAGTCATTGGGAGGCACAAGGACAGACTAGGACGTGAAATTATTGAGTCACTTAGGATAGCCGGAGATGATTTGAACTATGTCTCACCCTCCCTTAGGTTAACCAAGGCAGAGGTAGAGTTTCTGAGAGAGGAGTTGAGGCGGTGAGCTCAAGTTGGTTCTGCGCTTTTTCTTTCTTTCTTTCCGGTGGCGTTTTTTTTTTTTTTTCCTTTTTTTCTAGGGGAGATATGAAACCTGCTTTTTATTTTTCATTTTAATTTAAGTATCTCGTTTCTTTTTGATTCCAACAGGGTTATCCTCTTTGTTTTCGCTGGTTTCTTCCTCTTTTTCAAGGGTTGGGCTAGAGTAGCGCTGACCTATAGAGGAGGCATCATAAACGTCGGTTGCTAATTGAAAAAACTGTCGTGAGTGTGTGTGTCCATCCATCTGTGTTCTATTATTTCGTGTTTCAAGCCATTCAAGATATCTTCGTCAAACACACTGGGGGACTCGAATTCGCACACGAATTACCGAAAAACCAGACCCTGGAATTCCTTGACCTAAGAATACCATTCCACGAAGAAAAAGTGTGGTGGATGTATTTCCCACGATCGAAGAAAAGACTACTTCGATATGAGTCAGAACACACCAAACTTGTTGAAAGAGGAGTTCTTGCTAGTGCCTTGGGCTCAACACTAAAAGAGGCTTGCCAACACATGGCAGGAAAGAGTTTCAACAACAAGGTTCAAAGACTTAAAGCTCCAGGATATCCGATAGCAGTAATGTCCAATGTCGTCAAGAGCATGTTGAAACCATATAAAAGCGTAAATAGGCACCAAAAATGAATCCGACCTGTCGTATTGCCCTACGTTCACCGTGTCCCGCATCCTAAAACGAGAAGCCGCGAGGTTGGAGGTACCAATCCTCCTTACTGCACCTGACAAACTTAGACGACTGTGTCCAAAGATCAGCAAGCCACAAGAATATCCTGACGAATGTAAGATCAATCATGCACTGAAGTTTGCTGACTGCCGCCGCAGCATTTTTTACAAAATCCCGTTATCACGCAGAAGAGTGTATTTGGAAGTCAGGGAGGTATGTGAGCGTGAGACTCCGGGAGCATGCTCTATTCCTTTTAGCCGTGAATGTGGGGTACTGTGGTTACACCCAAGTTTTTTTTTCTGTCACGAAAGTACCAAAACAGTTTCATAACCAAACGACTAGAGAAGTATATGAGGCTCAAGTGAATATGTCAGAAAAGCAGGTCTGCATAATTTCGGTATTGATTCCCCTCTTGACGAACAAGTTCGATTTTTCCAATTGGTGTCCCTGATTTACATTTTTTTAGTGTAAATATCGTCTAAGAGTTACCTTCATCTTCATATTTTACGCATAAACTTTGAATGTCTCATGTATTTAGTCTAATCACTATACTCTTGAGAATAAGTGATCAGTATTATGTATCAATTTTAAAATGAATAACACGTCGGAGGCTAATTACAAAGTAGTTCGACTGTGCTTTAATAATCGTTACATCTTTCTTCTCAATTACTACCTTTTCATTAAACCTCAGTTGTAACTTCAGCGCTTGTCCTGTCTACGTCTTTAACTTGTCCTTGTCCTTGGCGTTGCAGTGTGTATTAAACATCTATGGGAGGTTAACAAACACATAAAATTCAGAAAACTTTGAAGATCGTACAATAAGCCACGAATGGGGATCGGTAAAACATATCAGTGGAATGCGTTAGATATATCCAGTACATCTAAGTACTTCAAAATGAAAGGAGAAAAAACGCTTGCGAAAAACCTTAACAAGATGAATATTGAAGTACGCAAACCAGCGTTATTCGTAGACTACATAAATATGCAGTAAAGAACAAACTAGAGGTTTTTGAGACAGCGCAATAAACGCGTAATTGTACTCTCAGCCCCAGAGAGAGAGATATTTAAAATCGCGACGTAACATATGCAGCCTTTCTTTTTTTCAGTACGTATCTTCAACTCGAATTGCCACAATTTTGCTTTAAATTTTTCTGGTTCGTTACAGTTTCTTCAATCTCATGAAGAGGGTACGGTTTTTTACACTATCAAACGCACCTATGATAGCAATCTCCTACCTACTCAAGGTAAAACTGAAACTTGCGTGAAGGCTACAAGAATATCTGCCACCGCAAATGCTGCACAACTGTGCACGATATTTAAGACACTTGGCGGAACTGCTACGTAAGTATTCCACAACTAATGGAATCACAAACAACACTAATTACGTTAATTTCACGTGATATAAATATTAGAAAAAACTATAAGTTAAAATGAACCTCGCAGGGATTTTCTAGACTATTGGAGAAGATTTCACCTAGTAAAAACGGCTATCTTTGCAATCCTGGAAAACGGAAAAGCAGGTGATCCATCCAGATAGTAGATTTCTTGACTGCTCCACTATATAAATCCAATTCAGGCAAAGATACTAAAAATAAGAGCGTCACACGTAAAGAAATACTTTCTTTTAATACAGTGTGCGGTTTCATGAATGTCGATTAGTCGACTGCGTAGAAATGACCTTGTTACGCTGAACCGGACGCCGACATATTTCGGCATTATTAGTGTCTTTCTTTTTGTCCTACGTAAGAGTTCGTACTAAAAATCAGCACAATCTTACTGTTTTGACATCAAAGCAAGGTTAGTCATAAAACAGAGTATTATGTAGACTCTAGCCCAGCTATCACAATGTAGAATACGGAAGAAGGGTGTGAGAAGGCTTGTGCGAAAAGTAATTAGGACTTCGCAATAAACACGGGTCAATAACTGTTTTGTATAACGTTTTATATAGCATGTTTAATCAAATTTTAAGAAAAACAAGAAAAATCGTGCCTAACTAAGCTCCCACTAACACTTGACATCAAAATAAACGCAGCGTCTCCCCGCCCCGCGCCCCCCCCCCCCCCCCTAGAAAAAAGAACACAAGACAGTGTAATATGTACAGCAAAAAAAAAAAAAACGCATTGTTGTACATTTCTTTTTTGACCACATATATAACTAACAATTCGAACAAGATACGAAACTACCAAAGAAAACCGTTGACTGATTGAAATGCTATATTATGGCCGATTTATTGAAATTTTTAATACGGAAACCCTACTTGTCCGGGTAGCTGACGCCATCCTTCTCCATGTATTTGTAATCTAACTTTTGAAAACTGTCTCATACTTTTTAATCAGAAGCCGACAAGCTCTGAAACTTTGGCATATGGTCCGGACAATTAATGCTATATTTGGACCGGTAAAGGCTCGTCGATGTGAAATTCATTTTCGCGAACCCAGGAACACGAAGATGTTTTCGAGGATTGTACACACAAAGAAAAGCAGACCATCTGACGTTACTTGGCTAACGAAGTGCGCGATGACAAATTAAAGTCAAACATCACATAACAGCTGGGATTCACACTAGAGTAATAGTCGTTATACAACATTCAGATATCGCACAGGAGCTTGGTTGCTCAGGTTGTTACACCTCACTTTTTAGATAAGTGGCCTTATAAGTGGTGCCGGAGATGCGATTTCGGTGGCGATCAAGGAGGCCGTGGATTTTTTTAAATGAATCGCAGCAGCCATTTCCAACGGCTTCTCCGAGGTACCGGGAGATAACTCGAACAGAACATTATTAATCACAATATTTACCAATTTAATAAAATACAACTTTATTTTCATTGTCTGGTTAAAAAATCATAATAAAACTATTTCTAGAGGTCCCGCACAGTAGTTTAATAAGTAAAAAAAACTCCCAAGTTTGCGTTAACCATTAGGTAAATCTTCAAAGTGGATAATTTTATGCCACCAGAATTTAAAAAATCGTACTTAATATACAAAAAAATATGAGGAATGTTTATGAACACACTTATATAATGCATGGGATGAAGCATTTAAGTATAGATTGTTTTAACTTATTTCGACAATATAAGGAGTCGTTTGGGGAAATGATGTTTCGTCTATGAATTGCTATAATATGCCACCGTAACATCACTATACTCTACGGAGAGCATAGGCATGTCATCACTCTCGCGTGAGCCGTCACACACCTTAGCCGACGCGCCGGGCTTTGGAAGGAAATCCTTTTTGGAGCTGTTCTTGGTGGATTAAATCTCAAGCCAGCAAAATATCGGTTCGCTTATGGTTAGCTCAAGTTTTAAGGCCACGTCGTGAGCAGCGAGGGTGTTCGTCCTGACCCCGTGAAGTCGCGCGCCATTGCCGCATTTTCCCTGCCGTCGGACAAGAAGGTCGAAAAAATATTCCAGACCTCAGTGCCTACTAGAGGCGCCTCGTTGGATATTTTTCGAAGCTTTCTGGGCCGCTAATTTACCTTACAAAATATGCTGTAAAGTTTCAGAAGCCAGAAGAGCACCAGCGAGTGTTCGACGACATTAAACGAAGACTGCAAACACTTTCCGTCCTTGCACATTGGACCATTTGGACCAATATGCCTCGGCTTTCCTCGGCTCACTAGATATCATTGACATGGCAGCACCCCTAAAAGATAATCCTGAACTGCGAGGACCCATCGAACACCTAGAGGGACAAAGAAGTGCGGTTCCCCCTGTTTTCATTTGGACCAATATGCACAAACAGGAATTCACATGGACGCAAGTAACATATTCCTTGGCGCGGTGCTGGTCCAAATGCTGAAGCGACCAGAGCGGGTGCTCGCCTATGCAAGCCGAACACTCCCCAAGGTGGAGGGTCATTACTTACGCCAAAGAAAGAATACCTGGCCGTCGTCTCGGCCATTACCAAATTTCGCCCGTACTTCTACGGAAGTCCGTTCAGGGTTGTTAGGGACCACCACTCGCACTGCTGGCCCGCGAATCTAAACGACCCCTCAGAACGTCTCGCCCTGTGGAGTCAATGACTGCAGGAGTTTGACATGACCGTGGTGTCAAACTCCACGGTCATGTCACGTGACATCTAGTACGTCCGCTCCTAGGCACCGAACCTCGTGCCTTAGTGTGGGAGCCAAGCACGATAACTATTCGGCCACGGGCATGCTTGCTCGAAGTCGCGCATGGTGATATTTTGAAATAATATTTCTATGAAATTCTTCGAAAATCGCCCACTTAGTGCTTAAAAAGGTGATAAAAATTGAAAACTAAAAATTATTTTTCATTAATCATCAGCTTAAATCTGCCAATGCGTATTTCTATTAGGTTATAATTTGTTTGTTCTACCACACAATACAAAATATTCAACTACATTTTTCATGGGGCCACCAGACTGATAAAATATAAAACCAAAAGATGATCCTAACATGTCCATTTTTTTCTTAATTTAGACAGTTTTTACGGGACGACTTGCTTACATTTAAATTAACGTAAGAGTAATATGTTTTAGAGCGCAGCTCTTAGGGGTCCGTTTCCAGCCTGAGCGGCGTCGGCGTCGGCGTAACCGGGGGGGGGGTCGCGTGACCCCCCCCCCCCCCCGAGATCACGTAACCCCCCCCCCCGAGGTCACGTGACCCCCCCCCCCCCGAGATCACCCCCCCGAGGGCACGTGCCCCCCCCCCCCCGAGACCACGTGACCCCCCGAGGTCACGTGACCCCCCAGGTCACGTGACCCCCCTCCCCCGAGATCACGTGACCCTCCCGGGGTCACGTGACTACCCGCAGGTGACCTGACCCCCCTCAGTACCCTTCCCTACTCCTCCTCAAGAGCTGCGCTGCAATTCGGCGTTACAGGGATTTGTAAACGGCTTTCATTTTTTTTTTAACTCATCGGTTACACCAATGTATTTTTTCAGAATATCCAAACACCTATGCAGCAACAAAAAGAGCGATACATTTCTATATCAGAAATGTTTCATAGAATGTTTTAACACCGGAACATTTTGATGACAGCTTTATATTCAGGTCCCAGTCAAATTTAAATATATGCATTCAAATTGCGTAGGGGTGAAAAATTGCAGTCGGAGTCCTGGCGGATTGAAAATAATCTGAACGACGTCAACTGCACTCAAACAACGCCGACACATGCCCTAAAGGCGTGCGAAGCTTCGAAAAAAAACTTCTATAAATTACTTCTTGAGTTACACTACACAATTTCACTGAAACCTTTATTTTTTGTGATTTGAATTTTGTAATAGCCTGCACTCGCTTTCAGTCATTGGTGATATCTGCTTTACAGGGATCCCTTTGTGGTTACATACAAAAAAACGGGCCCTGAAACAATGGTAGTTGAACCTGGTAAGTACCAGTGGGTTTCCGAAACCCAAATAGTGCATATATATTACAGTACATTAAATTGAAGATTGTATAAACAAGGAATAATAGATTGAACAAGATCAGGTTGGGCTTAACGCACCAGACACGGTGCATGTGTCAAGTAAACTGTGATGCTTAAACGTAATAGCGAGGCCAATAATTTTTTTCACATGTATCAAAATATGCACAAAATATGTACAAATATGTACAATTAAAGTATTCAGATATAAATAAAACAAACAAAAATGAAAGACGTTGACAACTCCTTGTAATGCCGAATTAGAGCGCAGCTCTTGAGGGGGAGGAGAGGACGGTATGAGTCTCCACCTCCCTCCTCAACTACTCCTCCCTGCTCCTCGCCTCCTCCCCCTTTTCTTCTCCTCCTCCCTCCTCCTCCTTCCTTTTCCTTCCCCTCCTTCTGCTCCTCCTCCATCTTCCACTCCCTCCAGCGCAATGCATCATGGGAAACGTCCCATAATGCAACGCCCGTCACCGCGGTGCATTATGGGGCGGTTCCCATAATGCACCGCGCGGTTACACCGACGGCGACGGCGATGCCGAGGCGTCACGCCGACGCGTTATGCCGGCGCGTTACGGTTACGCCAACAGTGACGCCGACGCCGATGCCGCTCAAGCCGGAGACGGGCGCCTAAGAGCTGCGCTCTAAAAACAGCGGATACGTCATTGTACTACCACCGTATTATTATTTAGGAAATGATCTCGCAGAGAACATTTTACCGAAAGGTACGTCAAGAACACTAGCAACGCCGTGTTTGCTTTTCTTTTATACTCAATCAAGTTACCAGTCCCTTCTGAAATTAAAGATATTTGAATTGTCCCGATACGTACTATATTGTACAAAACGTCCTTGAAAATTTCAAATGCAATATGTTCAACTTCGCTGCGACGACTGGAAACAAACGGCGTGATACTTGTGAAACAAAAAAAACAGTAGTACGAAGTTCTAGGTAAGGTTTACACAGAGACCCAAACTGGATAAGAAAGGTTACCGCAAATCGCTTGTGTGAGGCGTGACCAGCTTTTATAACAGACACTTGAGCGCTTTCGTTTGAAATTACACGGATATATTTTATTGAATTTATGGAAAGTAGGTAACACCGAATTAAATAGTTATTCGGTGAAAATATCCGTGACATTCAAACGAGCTCTGTGAAAAGTGCTGCCACTCAGCTTTATAATAGCAATATGCATGGTAGTAAATTCACATCGATAAAGTCCAAGATACTATCCCGGCAAAGCCGAAATTCCGACCCACACACAATTCACGTTTCTTCATATCCCGGCGGCATCAAATGACTGCCTCGAGAAATCCGACGACGCCAAAAGTCTCTCCAGTACAAAGTGTACCGTCTCAGGATTTTTCTACACTCCTGCTGTTGACTGTTTAATGGACCCTAAACAGCCTGGCAAGCCTTCAAGTTTGAATTCGGACCCTTAAACCGACTTCGGCGTCGTAGCGCCGCTTCTCGGCATCGTCGCCGTCCTTCATGAAAACCTGCCGGTTGCTGGTTGAGGTAGTGGTGAAATCAGAATTTCTGTGTCACTCACAGGGCTTCGAATAACTGCGCAGACGACTGGAACGTACTCAGAAGAGCGTTCGAGTCGCACACAGAACTGAACACAAACCGAACTGGTCAAACAAACGGTCGCGATCCTTATTTTTCCGCCGCTCGCGGCAAGGTTTACCGCGCGAAGTTTTCTGAACCAATAGGATGTGAGATACAGAACGTACATAGGTCAAAATAATGTTGGGACGTCAGCGACGGTTGCTTGAAAACTGCTCTGCGGTACCGCTCGGTTTCATCGCGGGTGCGTTCCCTGCTTTGCTCGGACGTTTGCGTAGACATCTGCCGCTGATCCTGACAGTTTTGTTGGTCCCCCTCTTCACAGAAAAAGAGCTATGTCTCCAAATTTGATAAACTAAAATGCCCCATTAATATGCAGATTTGATGGAAGCTTCAGGTCGCTATAGGCAGGACCCAATTTTATGGCTAATGTTAGAGCTAGCCTCAGGATTTCTGACACCGTGTACATAAGCATAAGAAATAATGTCGCAAACGTAGACTACATCATACTTGTTCAGTCAACCCACCTCGCTCAATATTTCTACTGGTTTTGTGATTTCCCAAGCAAAGATATGATTAGATACTAACTCATATGAAATATTATAGACCGCTACCTGAGCTGAAATGTCACGGCGCGTTGCGCATAGAACAAACTGAGACACCTGCTGCATTGTTCTGCAAACTGTGATGCACGCTGTGGCCAGGATGAATCTCCAACTACGCCCGTAGTGCTACTCTGCACTTCCGTGTTGTCTTGTAGCGAACACGTGGAGGTGACAACCCCTTCTTTCATCAAAAAATAAAACCTATGCATGACACAGCATATATCTATCGATCACTTCCTCGAAATGATTTCTTCAGTTTCACACAATATTTAGTCCGCATCTTAGTGCACACGGATGAATATCCGTTTGCACTAAGATTACGGAATATCCGGAAATTACGGCCGTAATTTCTAACTTATCGAAACCGTCGAGAATTCCGGAAGAAGTGCGCCATACATATCATCATTAGAGAGGCAAAAGTAGACTTAACTAAACGGCCCTTCGCGACCATTAAATAAATAATTTATGTGGGGATGAAGGTCAACCTAGGGCTCGTCCCTCAGCAAAAAACGTTCCGGAGCTAAAAGTGCGTAAGACGAGCACCGCTTATCGCAGCTATGTATGTTAATTATTTCAAACTGGCGCACGAGCTTCGAGGTATCCACCCGGAAAGTGCTGTCAGTACTGTCTCCAACTCTACTCCGACTTTTCTTCAAAAAAACCTAAAAAGATTTTGGAAAAAAAAAAAAAAAAAAAAAAAACGAGGTAGAAGTGAATTCTAAAGCAATTTAGTTCTGTGTATCTTAATTTCACGTTCGTTTTCCTCAAATATGTAACTAAACGAGAAGATACACCAAAAACCTCCGATCAGCCGTTACGTCGTACTTAGATCTTCCTGCCACCAAACGCGTGATGCTGGTGTTGGCAGCGCGTACAATTGGATCCATGCCATAGCTGAGATCCCGAAAACTCTGGATATGACGTCGCGCTCTGGGAAAGGTGGGCTTCATAAGTACTTCGAAAATGATTTTCTGAAGCCCCCCTGCACCAAAAAGAAAATAATCTCAATATTCATAATCCTGCAGGTCACATAATGACAATTTAGGTGCTTTTCCTTAAATATAAAACTGCTTCAGTTTCCCTTTAAGCCGATACTGTATCCTATGCTACGAACGCGAGAGCACGAGGTCGAGGCTTCGAAACGTTCTTCTGCAGAACGAGTTCTCGCCATAGAGAGGCACGTCCATAGCCTCCTCTATACTCACGCAGCCTGGCAGCTCAATGACGGAGCCATAGAGTGCCCAATCGCAGATTTGGTGCGCGAGGATCTGGTAGCACATAGCATTTCTCGAAGAACCTGGAAGTCAGAGCACAGCTTTTGCAGCGGCGATGACCCAAAACTTGGTTTTCAAACCCGATGAGAAACGAAGCGGTAGCGCGAGGAAAGCGAGGAGCACGGGCGGACATTCAATTGCTCGGGAGAAGTGTGTTTTGGCGTCTCGCCGCACAGGGGCGCCCGTCACGTAGTTCTCCTCTCGTCCGTTGTCTGCTGCTCTATCTTTTCAATTTGGCGGCCGCTTCTCGTGGTGATCTGCCAGGCTTTGTCAGTATAGAAAAGGCTTTGGCACGCCTCAAAAGTCCGAAGCGCGGGCTAGCTCGCGCTTGTAGCTGCTGCTGTAGACTCAGCGTAAAGGGGTCATGAAACGATATCAAGGTGGAATGTTCATGACTTTACAGAGGCGTGCTGGTTTTAGTCCGGCCCAAGTATACTCGAACATATCGCCTCTGATTCACAAGCTTCTTTGTTGCGGTAAAATTTCGAAGATAAAACGGGACTATCGTTTTCCAGTCTTTCCTTCGCACAGATTGATGACGTAATTGTAGGATCGAAATCACCCGCCCGATAACAGTCGATCGCGTCTTATGGACAAGAACTGCGTGAGCACTCGACTTCGGCTCGTAACAATGAATTCCTCGGCGAGCACTCGGGTAGTGGCTCGTGTCCAACCACTGTGGTGATGAGGACAGCCGAACTCTAAAAATGCCTGGAGCTCAGCGCGCCTTTTCTTCCAGAGTCACTAAATGAGCTGCGCTTGGAGTATCGGCACTCTGTTCCCCGACATTGTTTTGGCACCGCCATCTTGGTTCGTGTGCAGAGCAAACGCAACTGCCCATCGTCATCATTCAAAAGTGCGACTTCCTCGGCATTACATTCGGTGTCAGGAAGCTCATGCAATATTTCTTTGCTCTGTCTCAAACTGCCTAAACATTTCTGGAGGGCGGAAACGTGTTTCCTGCGATTTCATATAAAGCTTCAGATAACTGGTAACCATTATTTTAAGCCACAATATTGGCAAGTGTCGTTACTCTGAAGCTTAGCTTATTTAGTGGCACTATTTTCTACTTTGACAACCGCAGCTCGTGGGTATGATTACCTTTGGCGCCATGGGATAGACACCAGGCCACCTGACCGCTTGTTTTTGGCTCCGAATTGAGGGGATGAACGTTGCTCATATTTGGCGAATTTTAATGGCGACTGCCATTGCCCCGAAGGAAAAACTATGGAAAGTTTATTCCCACAATAACATTAGTAAATTATTTAGAGTAGTATTCAGCGAAAGCAGAATAATCGCTTCATTGGACCCTTTAAGAGTGAGCGAAAGTTACACGCACGTGCTGAGTGACGCAATGAGTGAATTGTCTTCTTAGAGCACATCACAGTTTCCAGAAAAATGCGACAAGCGGCTTTGTTGGTACCACGCTCCACGTGTCGTGAAGTTTCAGCTCATGTATGCCGTGGCAATACTTCAATAAATTAAGCTTCTCCATTTGCATACAATAACTATTGGAATGAAGTGTGAATCTGGCAACCTTCCATTGCAAATTCAATGCTTTTTAACTTGTAAGTTTCGACAGTTATTAAGATTGGTTAATTTAATATGAATATAATTATTAAACATTCCTTTAGTGAAATGGCTCTCCCTAAATTCTCTTCTACTGACAACGCAGAAAGGAACGTGGGCAAAGGGGGGAGATGGGGTGGTGAGACAAGAGATGGGGGAACTGGGAATTCTCGCGGTTCAATAGAATCCTGTAGTTTGCCTTCCCCGACAAAGTCGAGTAGAAAGTCCAAGAATACCTTTGTGGTGGAGTGGAGCGCCCTTATAATGGGTTAGTATTTATTATGGCTGCCTATCACTTGGCAAGTTAGGCAATCACAGCGGTGTAAGGCGTCTAATCTGAAGAAAATTCATTTGACTACCTCATTCAACCACAGCCTTATGTTAAGGAGACAGATGCTCAATTTAAAATATCATCGAAGTGCAAGCGTGAGAAAAATGAATAAGTGATATAACACTGTTACATATACAACCTACAAATATGGTACGCTTACCAACACCTGACACCTCCCTTCCCCCCCCCCCCCCCCCTCCCAACCCTACGGCCCCCTCTGGAAATACCTGCGTCCGTCCCTGCATGCAGGTGGCGACTATTACTGCTTGTTTTAGATTGAGCCTCGGCTACATTTTTGGTTTGGCTTCCCGTATAATGCTTGGGTCTTGAGCCGTTGAGGAGTATATTAGCCCAGATATATGTATCTATATTTCGATCGTAACTTGAAAGGTTGGTAAGAAAGATGAAACTTGCTGTGAGTGAGCTTGTTCCGTTCGCAGGTTTTGGTAGCATGACAGTTCTATATGTCGACGAGGAAGAAAAGTGTCTCATCGTTCAACATACAGGGAAAACCCCAGGTAAGTACACGCGCCATTTCTTTCTAATTTAAATATTCAAAACGTAATTTACTTGCTGAAGGGATAAACGTATTGCGGCATGCATCTGAACAAATATGTGCATTGATCCTGCTAAGAAAAGTGACGCCTGCCCTGCACAGATCATGCTTCAAAATTAAATCACCAGTGGTTTACATTGTTTTAATGTAAAATTAAGGCTGCTTCGGACACTTCCGACTGCTTACGACCGTGTGCCTGAAAACCTCTTAAAATCGCTCACGGCGAAAATACACTGGCGCCATATATTGGGTGTCCTTGGAACACTTGTCATTTCCGTATAATTCATTTATTTTTTTTATATAATTCATTTATTTTTTTTATATAATTCATTTATAATTTGAAAAACATCTTGCGATGTAATAAATGAACCTTCCCCATACATAGTAAGTATGTGCATTTTATCTCGTAAATACAGCTAAATCTTCGTTCCAGTGAACTAAGAATTGGGGTGTGTGTATGTTTATACCTCCTAGAGTTGAGACAGACAAGTCGTCTGTCTCAACACGCGACTTGTCTCTCAGCTGTAGATGAGCAATTTAGCCAGTGCAGTACAATCGCTAACCTGGGGTCTTTAACGCGCACCAAGCAGTAGTTATACACGACCGCACGCCGGTACGATGCTCGTCCAGATCGAAAGGGGCAGGGATGGAACTTAAACCCAGGATCCCTGGGCTCTGTAGCACGAACTTTCGCTCCACGTGATCCGAGCTGGTGTGCGCTAGACCACTCGGCCACCAATCCGCCCCTTTCAGTGAAATGCAGTTCCATGGTTGCATCGTGGATATCTCTAGCGTACCGATGTGTTTTATCGTCGTAAGAGTTCACAAGAACTTGGTCGTAAGCAAACGGTCCTAAGCTTGGTCGTAAGCAAATGGGCCCAAAAGAGACAAAGAGAAACTAAAAGTGTGTTACAATGTGGCGCAATGTCAAGCTATAGAGAGCAAGAAGCAGATGAAATTGCATTAACTTGAAAGCAGCTTTCATTTGTCTTATTTTCAAGCACATTTCATTATTCGTAATAAATAATTTATCCGGAAACAATTGGCATATTTATCGGTTTCTGGGTGAAAATCCTTTTTGTGTCTTGTGCGTTTGCAGACATCGAATATAAGTGAAAAACCTGATCTAAATAACAAGTACTCCTGTTCCAATACTCGAAGTTTTCCTGTAAAAAGATTAACACGATATACTAGAAGCAGCGTGGTTGAGAAAGTTAAAACAACACACATATTTTATATACATTTTGGAGTGTTAATGCCTTATGCTTAATCTGTAGAGGGAGTTATCACGTCTAACCCAGTAATTATATTGCTTTTACGTTCTTGAAGGTTTCTGGGGCAGGCTGCCCATCGGGTTTTTCCGCTCTTTGAGGCCATCCCCATAAGAAGCCGGTGACGATTATTCTACCTTTTTACGGCTGATTGTCTGAAAAGTTTGAGACTTCCCAGAAACAATTTGTACTGTCGGTTCTATTTGTTTGTCTTTATATATTGAACTTTGTTACCGCGCAGATAATTTAGATTCAAACAACACACCAGAAAAACAGAACTAACTTTGAGGTCATGCTTTAATAATGATATGTTAAATTTGAAGAAACTTCCCCATATTCAGTTGTTAGAACACGTAATCCTGCCCATTCAGATTATTTATAGAGTTCGGTCAAATGATTAGTCTAATTTTTTTTAGAATCATCGCAGTGTTTTCAATGACAAGCTTAGTAGGTTGAAAGGTACACAGCGCGAAGCAAAGGGAACGATGGCTGTTTGAAGAGACCGCATAAATTGGTTTGTGAACGTATTGAGCTAAGATATTGTACAGAGATGGCAGAAGAACGTGCAGCAAGGTTTACATACTCCACTGAACAGACTTAGCTGAGGAAAAAGTTTGAAATCGAGATCTTGAAATACCTAACTGCGGCATTCATCTCTCAACGAAAGTATGAACACCTAGATTTCTCGGGCGATTGCGCCGAACGTTAGGACAGGCCGAAGCAGACAGCGCGAAAAATGTCAGAGGCCATTACGAACGAATGGCATCAGAGATCCTGAAGCGGAACGAAAGGCGTCTAATTGGCTTAACAACCGATAGATGGCGGCACGTAAGACCCCCAAGATCCAGGATCTCTGCAGGTAGCCACGGCGAGCGCTTCCTTCGAGCTGGGCGGTGTCTTCAGTGCGATCTCTTTTCGTTCAATCAGAAGAACATATTGCTTTGAAACTGATAGAAAACTGGGAGATATTCGATATCTCCGGTTTGCCGCCCATCATGGACCCCAACATGGGAATGGATAACAGCACAACAAAAATGGGTTTGTTGTGCACGATACTCCAATAGCACATGCCCTGATGCGATACACAAGGGTGGGTCTAGACTAGCGCCCTTCTCCCCTCAAGGTTGGACCTTGCCGCCAAAAAAAAATGAAAAGCCACGAATGGAGGGAAACGAGAGGGGAAAGTAGGATTAAAAGTTAAAGTGAAAGAAGGGAGGAAATAGTAGAAGAGGAGGCGACTGACTGCGTCATCCGTACACCCATCTATGAGAAGCAGGGGTCAAAGTGGTGTATTGCCTCACCCGGGGGACCCCGAAGGGTCCAAACCTCCAGCGGGTTGGCTCAACCGCCAGAAGGCCCTTTCCCCCAGACACGGGAAAGCCACGCACAGCCAGACGTGGGCGGGCGTACCCGCATGGCCCGGGGTACGTAATGACTTCATTCACCAAACACCTACTGACGCAGGTGCCCCCGGCGGGGCCGCAAATATAGGCGCAGCACTATCTCCAGCGTGTCTCTTGTAGCTCTCCCCGGACAACGAGACGAAGAGCTGCCGCATTCACGCATCGATCACAGGTGCGACCGGACAACACGTTCTGAGGAGCGGGCTTTGTCACCCGTCGACTGGGAACATTAGGATTATGACCCGCTTGAGGAGAGGGCGATGATCAAAGAAGACATAAAAGCGAGGCTAGATGAGTGCCTATCCGAACCGGATCTTCTCGGACTCCTTTCGAAGGGGTGCGATCCCAGAGGGGAAGTGCTGCTCACACGAGTAAGAACGGATGCCACCCTATCTCCGGCTCGCCTCGCTTTATGGAGCACGAGTAGATAATCAGCACCGCGACCTGAGTGTCAAGGACACCGAACACTCGATCTCGGAATGTCTGAAATATCAAGACATGAGAGTAAAATATAGACCCCAAGACGCGGTTTCATTTAAAGGCCGGACTCACCCTCCTGGGAATGAAAACAAACAAAGAAAAATTTTAAGAAGCCTGCTGGACTTTATCACTGTGGCCAAAGTAGGCTCTTTCATATAACCTGATTTCCCAGCACCCAAACCTCGAATTCAGTTCACCTGGTGCCCTCTCCAATCCAATCACCATTTTTTTTTCTTTTTTTATTTTTGGATAATAAATCGAGTTCTAATCTAACAGTCTCTGCTTAAGGGTGGAAGGACGCTGACGCGCCTGTCTCTTTGTCTTTACCGCAGACATGTGTAAGACGGATTACAGGAAAGCGAGCGAAGTACGCGCCATACGCAAAACGTCGAATAGGGCGATGGTATTAAAATCCCTCTATCCCAGGAAAAGTGGCGCCAGTCTTCTGAAGCTAAATGTGAACTATTTCCGGTTATTTCCGATCACAATGCGGTGCTACTAATTTTAACAGATTTTTTTTTTGTAAATAAAAAGGACAAGTTGAAGTGTTAAGTGCTGATTGTTGGGCGAGTTGGTATTGTGCGTGAGAAAACATGATTGTGCTTTAAGACAGGAACATAGGAAGAACAGACACCACAGAGCGCTAACTTTCAACTGATTTAATTCAAGAGCCTCAGCGTAGAAACGCACTGCGTCACCGCACCACATCTCAACCAATCCGTGGCCCCGCCACGGACCGCAAGTACACTAACTCTTTTTCCCCGAAGTCAATTGAAGCCGCACAGCACAACACGTGTCGGGACTATTTATGGCGTCTGCCTCAATAATCTCTCTGACAGTCTTATCTTTGTGGCTGGCGAGAACAGTAGAAGAAGCACCCGCAGTCATGACAGTGACATGACAGATGGCCATCCCGAAACCCGTTCACTTTCTGGTAGTGTTCTCCTTAGCCTTACATTTAAACATCTGCCTGTCTGGCCGACATATATCTTGCCACATGAAAGCGGATTCCGATACACCACCCCTTTCGTACACGCGACAAACGGACTCCTGTGCTTGATTGGGCAGCCCGTTGGTACCTTGCGGAATGGGTCTGTCAACTTGCACATTTTTGCGAGCTTTTCGGGTGCAGAGGAAATAACTTTTACGTTTACACGTTTTGCTATTTTTCCAAGACTGGTGCGCTGTTCTCTGCATGTAAGGTACATCCACAACTTTCAGTCTCGCTTGACCTGCCTCTGGGCGCGGGCTAACGTCCTTTCTTATTTTCTTATGTACGCCTTCTGCTACAGATACATTCACAGCCTTTCGAAACCCGGCAGGCTGCAAGCGTTTATTTTGCTCACTCAGGCTCAAGAACATTGCATGGTGGCAAAAATTTTTGAGGGCGTTCGTAAAACACAAATTAACTATTCCTCTTTTAACTAATTTAGAGTGGGAAGAGTTAAATGGTAACAACGGCTTGTTGGCCCTTGGGTGGTATGCCCAACACATCTGCTGTTCAGAGAGGGTGAGCTTAATGTCTAAAAATTGAATAACAGTCTCTACGGGTACTTCATGCGTGAGCTAAAGGGGGTCAAGGACATCACCAAAAACGGTCAAAAGACTTTCCACCGTGTTATCCCAATTTCTCTCCTGCAAAAAATGTTTCGATGAACGATTTTCTTTCTTTCAATTTGATGATTTTGCTAATAACACTGGGGATGTCAACTACAGTTGGAACTCGTTTAAGGTTACGCCAAATGAATGTATTGAACTTTTTGTATCACTAAGTGTTAAGAAGCAGAATGACGAGAATCCCTGAATTTTTAGGAAAACATTACAGGTGAAAAGACAAATGAAACGATAAAAATTATAAAAACTTGCACAAACCCTTTAGGTTTGAATAAAATATGTCTTGCTCTTTTTTTTCACAACTTCACGCCCAACTAACCATAGAAACAAATCGTTATCTCGGCGAATCATTGCCAAACTTTATATCCACGCCACCAAAATATTTTTGGCGATTGTTTAGAATGATTGATACTTTTGAAAATAGTCGAAATCTAACACATGGTCAAAAATAATTTCGAATACCTTTAATGAACGCTTAAATTCGGTTTTTACGCACGACAATGATGTGTTACCCAGTTCATGCGCACCACCCCCCTCCCCCCCCCCCCCCCCCGGGCCTGCCTGATATTTAAATGAGTGAATATGGTATATTGAATATGCTTTTGAAACTCGATTTTAAAGGGGCGGTGAAACAATTTTATGACTAAAAGAATTTGCATCTCGTCATTTTTACGTTTTTTATCGTGTCCCGGAGGATAGAAAAAACACCTCCTTCATTAAAAATGTCGCGATTCCACTGCATAATCGCAAAGCAAAAGTCGAGCATTTTCCCCCACCTGCAGCCCCAAGTGGGCAGCCGAGGGGAATGCGGCGAGAAGATTACGTGACCTCGCTCGGCTCTAAGCTGCAGCATAACGCCCGGTAATGTCAGCGGAGAGAGTGAAAGGAACCGTCCTGCGAGATAGCACACGGGAACATACACGGCACTCCGAATGACGTCACTAGGAGGGGGAACAGGTGTGACCCTGAAAGCTGGGAGTGAGTTGAGGGGTGCCCGAAATGCCAATATTTATCTTTTTTTACGCAACAACTAGAACACACAGGCGAAATACCTTTTCTGTTCTTTACTTCACAAGTGTCATAGAGCAACTTCCAGAAATCTTTGACCGAAGTCCGGAAATCGTTCCACCCCCCTTTTAAGGAATCTCCAGGTCCTGACCATATCCTCAATGACTAATTATTAAGGTATGCTGAATGTGTCTCAAAATACTTGTTCATTTTGCTTCGAAACTCATTGTAAGAGGATCAAATTCTAGATGACTGGAGAACTGCCAGAGACCCAAACCGCTTCATAAAAATGAAAACAGACAGTGGCTTGAAAATACCGTCATATTTTATTGTCTTTAACAGCCTGCAAACTTCTTGAGAATAAGATACATAATAATTTATCAAATTTCTATACGAGCACCATATCTTGACAGAAAATCAGCATGGATTCAGGAAATGTTTCTCTGTGTGCACGTAATTAATTAAACTTGTTCAGGACTTCTCCTCAGCAATAAATATCAGTAAACAAATGGACGATGTTTTAGGAAATTTTCAAAGGCATTTGAGAAGGTTTAAAACAAAAATGGATTGTACAAATTAGAAAAGAATATGTAGGAACACCGAGTTAGTAAAATAAATTTCAGCGTATGTTTCGAACCGTCGACACTTCGTAGTTTTGGGTGACCATACTTCCGATAGACTTTCTGTTCACTCTGGCATTGCCCATGACTCTGAAATGAGGCCTCTCTTTTTCTTGTTATTTATAAATAACATTTTACAAGATGTTCCGGTGAAAATCAAGTTATATGCTGATGATTGTGTAATTTACTCGGAGGTAAATTGTACCTAAAAATTAACCATTGCTAAATAGGGCTTTTTTTAAATATGGCTACATGGTATACGGAGTGGCAAATAAATTAGAACATTGAAATAAAAACGCTTTTTTAAAACAAATTGATTTACCAAAACGTTTATTAAAATTTCTTTACAATGCCAAAAATATGTCTATATTTGAAGAAGCACAATATAAACACCTTGGACTCTTGATGAATCAACATCTTACCTGAACAAGGCAGATTAATTGCGTGACATCTAACGCTCAGCGAAAGTTGCTCTTTCTTAGAAGGGCGCTAAACTTCCTAACCCTTAATTGCGTCACCTCTCATATAAAACTACAGTCCTTCCAACATTACATTACTCGGCTATCATTCGGGTTTCATACAATAAGATTACATTAATAAGCTTGATCGCGTGCAGAACTGGCCACTCTCTTTACTTCTAATGATTTTGTGACGTACTTTTTAACTAAACTTTTATCCAGAGTAAACTTACCGCCTTTATCCCAAAGAAATCGGCATTCTCGACTGAAGTTTTTGTGTCAAATATTTAATGCGCATTATAGGGTATATGACCTACCTGAACTAATGCGGAAAGGAAGTTTATCTGCTTCTGGCACAAAAGTTGCGGTGACGTCAGAACGACGTCGACTTCTGATTGGCTTTGTTTGGAAGGATAATGGACAGACCTCAATGCTAGGTGCCTCGAGGACTACTCGCTATTTTTCTCAATTAGCCAATAAGGGCTCAGCGTCCTGACATTGTCGCAACCCCTGTCCAAGAAGCAGACGAACTTAAACTCCGCATAACTTTCTTCCCTGGATATGCCACTCGGCAGAGGCATGGCCGAAGAGTAACTCCTTTTCGCTAGAGTAATAACTGCTTTATTGATTCCTTCTTCCCGCGAACACTAAACGACTGGAATAACCTTACTAACAATATAGTAGCGCAGGCATCATTGTCGTTGTTCGCCTCCCATCTAAATTAGTTCTATCCCAATGTAAATATTTTGTTTGCTGTTTGCTTTCTTTGTGTTTTTCTGACATGTTCTACTTGAAGCGATGTACTCACGTTCTATAATCCCAGCTAGGGATTGCAGTGTTAATAAATAAACATTAATATAAAAAATGCTTATTCTGAGATTCAAGAAAAGAAATTAGAAATGCAGTTAAACTTTTGAAACCAGAGATAGATCTTAAGTGAATCACTATCGTACAATTTATTTCTTAAAATTAAGCCTTTTGGCGAAGGCTATTTAAACCACGTGGATATCATTCTTAGTCAGGAAAACGTCTGTCCCGACACGGGTTTATAAACAAAACGCATGGGGGAGGAAAAAAAGCGGTTATTTTCGCTTTTTACGAGTTAAACCCGTGAAAACTAATGGAACACATATTTTAGCTTTATTGTGAAAACCTGATGGTCAGGTGGTTTGTGAAAATATGTGAGCCATCTGAATTAATAAACGTTTTAGTGCTCTTAGCAAATAAGGGCATTACAGTCACTTGTGAACTCGCTGGAGTCATAAGATGCAAATAAATTCGTTGCGTCGCCTAGTCTAATTTTAAAGGACTTGCAGAGTACTGTAGGGAATCATATATTTTTTGGTTGTTGCATTATTTAAATCTAAAATGCCGTTCTGTTCGCACTTCAGTTAAACTTGAATCGAAGTTAAGTTTTATTCGGGGCGCCAGACTAGAACAGAATGACCTCCTCTACATAAGAAAGTAATTTGACAAGAGCTTTGCAGCCATAGTTTTAAGAAGTACATCCTATAATACAATTAGGTTATAAGAATGTGATTTTTGTGAAGCTATATGTAGAGATTATAATGCGTATGACTCTAATTCCCGATTATTTATGACACGAAGTTTAGATGAATAAGTTATTCTATTTGCTGCAATTCATGGGATGAGTTTCATTAGCAGGAGTTCACTATAACGTGCTAATATTTATTTACTCGTTTAATATTTTCCATTGGACGTAGCAGAATGTAGTCTTTCTTGTTACTTCTGTTTGTGTACTTGTTCTTGGTGCTGGAGAGATTAAAAATGACAAGAGAAGCTTGCACTCTTATTTAGAATCTAAATAATAAAAGTATGTAACACTCAAAAACATTGCAATTCATGAGCATCGAGCAGACATGTTGTACGCAGCTATAGATGTTATCTTGGCCTGCAGAAAAATCTAAATATTTACTCTTTAATTAAGATTAACGAGTCATGTGGTATATTACATATTGTTTCCACCTAATTCACAATATTCTACAATGCTCAAGGTTTATTATATATTGTGCTTGTTTTAATGTTGCTTGACTTATATACAAACAATTCGTCGTTTTAAGACAAAATTGGTCACCCTTTCTGTTTTTGTTCGCGTCTTCAAACAATCTGTAAGAATGCATATTATAAAAATATTTATTTTACCACATATCAAGTGGACTGCAAAAGTAAAATATATTATTTTCAGATTGGTTGACAACCGGTTTACCTCTCTATAGTAGTGCGCGCGGCATAAAAAATAACAAGACAAGCGCGTAATGAAATGGTGCATTAGGAACGCCCAATTTTTCTTTTTAACTATATATTTATATTAAATTTTTAGCTCTTTTTACTTGGAAACTTCATTCGAATGATCTAACTTTAATTATTTTTTTTTCAGTTGATGAAGCCATGAGATCATGCGATATGGTCAGAGCAAGCATTGATCCCACCGGTAGGAAATGTAACGATCAGTTTACAAGGCTCTGCGGATCAAGAACATTTGCAATTTCCACCACTGACGGCTGTAAAGAGGTTCCCATTCCTACATGCACAGAGGGATCACAACCTAACACAAATGCTGTTTTAAAAAGCAGGTTTAATTGAAACGCGAGTGGGTGAAGGGACGCAATGTCACGACAATAAACCACGTTTGAAAGCTATTGGATTCTTTATTTTGTTTGTCTTGCACTTTTTGCGAATATTGTAAACATTTTTGCACCGTTTGGGTTGACGCAACCATTCATTGTGATATATAAAGGCCATTTCATTTTACCAGAGACCGAAAGAGAAAAAAAACGTTGGTGACCCCTATTTGTGTGCTGTCTTCACTGTGTATTTAACGTGCCCCGCGGACGTTAAACGAAGCAATGTTTATATCACGAACCATCGGTTGATGAACTCAAATTGCCTAATGAGCTTTTTAAGCATTGGTTTTATAAGTAATGCTCCAATCCACTTATTCCAAAACTCGAAACGCGTGGTAGACACGCGCATTATGAGGCACAGATGTACCGGTGAGTTGTCCGTAAGCTTTCGTAACGTAACATGACGTCAAAAAACGGCGCTGTGTGAACCTGCCTTAACGGTTTGCTAAAGGTCCTTTCGAAGTGCGCTCCATGCACACACTCTTTGAATTTCCGACAAACATTCATAAACGTATCGCTAAATCTGTCAAAGGGTAATCCCTTTTCGCGAATTGTATAAATGGGTCTAGCCATTATTAGTAATTGACTTTAAATATGGAATTGGAACACGAATCATAAAACCAATACTAAGAAAATTCATTAGGCAATTTTAGTTAATTAGTTGACGGATCGTGATGAATATTGCTCCTTGTTGCGCCCGCCGTGTGCGTTCAATGCAGGGTGAACACAACACCCATCTAAAGGTCACCCACTTTTATTTTTATCTGTTACATGTAAAAAGAAAGCATTCTATATATAAACGAGTGAAATACATATTTCCTCTAGGTGTTTTCACGTCAGATCGTACATTGATTTTCCGGGTCATATTTTTATATTAATCTAAAACATATATGCTGAAGCCATGTTCTTGGAAGGAGCATTGGGCTATATGCGAACGCCGTAGCAAGTTTTCTTCCAGAGTTATAAACCTTCGAAGCTCGAAACGTGGGGATTGCCATGCCTTTCGCTATGGTGCTTCGCCAAGCCGTCATTTTTACATCGAAGCGTACATGTAGTATTTATCTTTTTTCTGATTCATTTTATGAAAGGTTTAGAACATGTACACAGAATATTAAAACCGACAATAAAAAAATTTAATGTGAACAAAGTTACTAAACACGTCAAAGAAACACCGTTTAAGGACAGATGAATTCAATTAACTACTTCCCAATAATTATAACGAAGCAAAAAATATCAAAATGATCATCTTTATATGTACTGTACGAATATATAAGTAAAATATGCCGAGCCTTTATTGTAGTTTTGTAATTAATAAAGAGACTGAGCTAATTTCTTTAAATGTGGAGCAATTAATTGCACGTCAATATTGAAAAAAAGACTCCACTTTTTATTTTCTTTAATTTCTCCTTAACCGTTTACCGTGACGAACTAACTTTTGATGGCAAAACATTGAGTAACGTGTAACCTCCATTAAAGGGGTACTGCGGGGTTTTCTTCGCAGTCCCCAATTTGCCTGAACATTTGCTCAACATACCAACAAACTTCTCTGAGATAATTCCCCAAATTTTAGGCCGAATATTTTTTTCCGGAGTTATTGAATTTCCAATATTGGTCGTCACCTTGTTTTTCTAAATGAGAGCCTCCATTGGCAACAATGAAAATGTGACCTCAGGGGAAAGCATTGGTTCAGCCTTTGGAATGTAGATTTTGTTCCCACTGATTACAAGCAGTTTTATGGTTTCAAATAAGCGCTTCGTGAGCTTCCTCCAGCACCCGCGCAGCAGCACGAGACAAACTCTCGGCGTAGTCTATATTTTTAGACTGTCCGCTCAACATTCAACCATGCCTTCCCCTGACGTCACGGCACTGAATAAACGAGGGTATATTTGATTGTTGGATATATGTCATCATTTTCATTTGCCGATTTTACAATAACTATTCTGAGTTCCGCGGTACGAATTAGTATACAGGAAATCGTAAAGACCGGTGATTCTGAAAATAGAGTTGGTTGGTGTAGCTCGAAAGATCGGCGGAGTACCCCTTTAAGAGATGAACGACAGCAAAGATTTACTTAAATTGAGCTAGCTTGTTTTCGTTAAAGAGGGTTTGCCGCACAAAGTCGGCTGCAAGGAGACATTTGTTTACAACTGACAATTGCTGTACAGCGGTGATGCTCTGTCGTAGGGCATAGAAGCTAGGTCATGCTGTCCCTACCTTAGTTTGATATTTGCGTTTCATTGCGTTGCTTCCTGATACGCCCCCCCCCCCCCCCTTCCCTTGCCCTTTTTTCACGGAGGACTATCGGTGGACGCCACTGCTGCCGGCGGTTAAGAGCAGTATGCAGCACATTACCGCGAAACCCCAAAGCCCTCCCACGAGGAAGGTCTATCGAAGCGAAAGAAGATCATGGGAGTAGTATAGGGTGTTACGATGCGATGTTATCGCTTATCGCTGTCGCGGCCGCAGCAGAACTGCTGAGTCAGGGGGGCGTACCTCTGGTGCTTGCTGCCGATATAAGCGGCATCGCCGGCAAGCTTTGCGCTCTTTTGGTTCCGGCTGCCGAACAATAAACGCTGCCAAATAAACGTCGGTCTCCGGATTCGTCGATTCTCCCGGAGAAACGTAACAAGGGACAGTCGGTATCTTGGTGTTTAACATTATGTGACGAAAAACAAACCAGCCTACAGTTTCTAAGTATCCATGCGCACCGTGCAATGAAATCCAGATAGAAGTTGGTAACCACAATAATTTTGCTGTTGGGGTTTCCATGTCAGTTTATACGATAATGATGCGGGTCATATTTTGTATATTTCTTTAAAATACATACTATATGAAAGGCATATCCTTGGGAGGTGCACTCAGCTTTACATCCAGGATGTTTTACGAAAGGCGGACCAAATCGTTCCTGTGAAATATACGTATGGCACAGATAAGGGGTGGTGTAATTTTGGTTCCTGCGAAGGGGGTAAATTTAAGAAAGAATAAGTGTTTGATATAATTATGTTCAGAATTACTTTTAGTAATTAACTTTATAATTTATATAAATACGTTAATTTAATTACAAACATGGAGGCATAACTGAAAATTAAATCCACCCGCATTATAAAAACCGTGCGGACGTAATTCAAGCCCCAACCAGGGCGCCCCTTGCGGCAAACGGGTGGGTTTCATCGGGAAGCATCTGCAGTAGCTGCGCAGGTTGTGAGTTGTAGCAGGTTTCCGCTGCAGTTTCTGAGACTGCTATTTTGCACCAAAAAAGCCACATTAATTGTTGTGTGGTCGGCTGCAACAGAACGTGCAAGAACGCTCACGGCACGAAGTTTACCGGCTTCTCTTCGATGCAGAGCGCCGCGCAACCTGGGTGCGACATGTGCGTCGATGCAAGTTAGTGGCGTTTTTCACCTTGCAGTTCGCGTGTTGCTTTAATCCGCTGGCGAATAATACAATTAACTCTTTCTAGAGACAATGGAACAATATAGACACGTACAAAAAAGAAACTCTAAGATATGTAGTGAACACTTCACCGGGAACGAGAAGCAGAACGAGGTCACCCACACAAGCCAAACCACCCTAGGATCTTTGCATCAGCCTACAAGAAGAGAGTAATGCTGGGAATCGCGGAACGCGCGAAAACAATCGCCCGGTTGCTGTCAAGCTGATTCAGAATGCAATAAACGTACACCATTAGCGCAGTGCGCTCAACGTCCACTAAGAAAACTCTTATGACCACGAAGCCCAGCGTTTTTTGCGGGCGCGCTCAATTTCGTCAGCGGAGTACAGCGTGCTGTGACATACAATTGCCCGTCGAAACGGACCTCCTTCACGTCGTACACGTGCCCAAGTTCGTCAAAAGAAAAAGTGTTTTCTTTTCGTCACAATGACACCGCGGAAAAATGTGTTTTTCCTTCGTCACAATGGCACCGCGGAAGAAGCTTTCCGAATTCGCAACTCCCTTAAACCCCGTCGTACACACTTAAAATTTCAACACCCTTATTCGTGTAAATGACTCGTCCTCTGGCTAACCTCTTTATTCGTGTAAGGGTGTTGCTACCGGAGCTCAAGAAAATCATGTAGCTGCTAACACCCTAAAACAAATATGGCGGCCCAATATGGGAGAGGCCTAGCCATACAAGTAAAAGGCTCAGCCAGCCAGGGAGCGCGCCTTTAGAGCGCGCGACGCTAGAGCGCCGACGTTAGAGCGCGCGACACGAGCGCGCACCCCAGTAGAGCGAACATCGCAAAATATGGGATGTACCCGCGGCTCCACGGACAAAACCAAATTGTGCGATTAATCGGATCGGAGTATTGGTGATTTTGGATTGATTAAATATGCCTTTAATAAAAAAAAATAGAACGGGTACGACACTCTTTAACCAATTGTTTACTGAAATGGGCGAGAGAAGTGGGCATGGGAGTGGGGTGGGACATGTAGGTACCGGAAATGTCAGCAGTCGGGTGGAGCAGCGAGTCTAATACCTTATTCACACGGTCAACATAAAGGTACTTTTAACATAAGTCCCTTTGCTAACGGCGAATCAGCCCGTGCTCTTGGGTTGCGAGCACACGCCACGCGCGGAAGATCGTTAATTGATTGGCCGCAGAGAATAAAGGTCCCTTAGCTAAAGGTACCTTTACGGTCATGTGAATGCGGTATAATATTTCTCCACTGTGCTACTGTGCGCCTCTCGGATATACTATAAATAGTTTACTTTTTGCTATATTTAGTCTATTCCTGACAGGCGTTCGGGCTCTGAATTATTTCGTGGCTATTTAGACGACCCTCACAAATTTTTAAATAGTATTGTGACGCACATGACCGTAAGGAAGAAAGCTCAGCGCTAAAAAAACTATCAGTAAAAAACTCATCGAAGGGAAACTCAGCATATATTTATCGAATGCAGAGCTTTCCAGCGTTATGAAGGATACAGGAAAATTTTCCCTGTAAATCAGTAAAATATATTTGAGACTTTTTTGCCAAAATCCTCATTCGTACGGTGACGACGTCCCCTTCTGTT